GATAAGCCGAACAACAGTCTACCAAGGTCAAGATGTAAGCATTCTTCTTCTTTGTGAGAGGAAGTGGTCCCACCAGATCGACCGCCACACTTTCAAAAGGTGTGGAGGTGAATGAGTTTCCCCCAATCCGACTGGTGCATTCCTGCCTTTATGAGCTACCTTCTGACACTCCGGACAGGATTTGACATAACGCATGATATCTGCTGACATACCTGGCCAGAAGTAATGACAAGCAATGCGTTGTGTCGTTGCACGAATTCGATTTTGGGGACTGTAAACTATAGTGTGTCCCATCTGGAGAATCTGCTGTCTATATGTTTCAGGTACCACAAGCTGACTGTGTTCTGTAAACTTGTCACTTGCCCATCTATAAAGTATGAAGAATTCTCTCTTCTGAGGGGGATTGTGACTTGCAGTTAACTTTTTAAAACATGCCTTAAGCTTGATTTCCTCAGGTAGAGGATTTACATGAGGAGAATCTTCTGAAGCACTCTTATGCTGTGCTCGGGTGGTCACCGCAGCAATATGCTCTGAGGGTTTCTTCGGCTCTGCTAAAAATACATAAGTAGCGCCAAGAATTAAATCAAAGGTACAGTGTTCAAGCACTGCTGCCTCAATTACCCCTGAGACGTATTTAGATCGGACCTTTATCTTAGCAATCGGCAAGTTTAAAGGTTTAGCATCCAATGTGGTACATTGGAGCTCTATGAATCTGCCTGTATACTGGTCAGGTTTTACAAACTCTGGCCTCACCACAGCTCCGTACGACAATCCGCTATCATATAGACAATTTAAAAAATATCCGTTAGCCCAGACCCTCTCTACCACAGGTGGCCCATTGGAACCATTGTACAACTTTTCCTGGGTAGAGGGTACTACAGTAGACAACAAAGCTGATACTTGCAAACCCCCTGACGGTTGGGCTTTACACTCCTTAGTCCAGTGGTTATTGTTCTTACAAACTTTGCAGTATGGCTTTTTAAATCCATTAAAGGGTTGTCTTTGTTGCGTTCCCTTAAATTGTGAGGGGTTCTGGGGTTGTGCTTGGGATGCATTCTTTTTAGGGTATTCATTACCACCATTCTTCCCTTGGCCCTGGGCCTTGGGTTTCCCACCTAAACACACCTCTTTATGTGCCATCTCATACCTCTCAGCATACATCAACATCTCACTCAGTCGGTCAGCACCATTCTCCGTCAAGAACGTTTGCATAGGGCGAGGTAATGTCTCTTGGAGTTGTTCCGTTAGGACCATCTCGTGTAAATCTTCAAAAGAAGAGGAGTATCCAGACATTTTCCTCCACCTAGTCAAATATCCCTGAAGGCGACTGGCGAACTGGGGATAGTTCTCCCCTGTCATCTTTCTCTCATTTCGGAACTTCTGTCTGTATGTCGCAGCATTAAGTTCGAAACGTTTCAGCAAAGCCTGCCACAATGCATCATAATCAGTCCCAGTACAGGTGGGCATCCGCTGATAAATCTCGTATGCCTCACCCCGCAAACCTTGAGCCAACTTCAACGTGTACATATTCCTTTATAAATTGTACAAAGATGCCAATTTGCCAAATCGGTCTAGGTACTGTTCAGTATTCTCAGCCTTCGGGTCGAAGACTGGCATAGGAAAGTTTATCGCTTGAGCTGAGCTACTGTGCGTTGATGCACCATCAATCTCATGTGTTGGAGATCTGGGTCTATTACCCTCTCTCTCTGTGCCTGAAGTTCCAATTCTCTTAACCTCACCTCCTGTTCCAACTTCATTCTTTCTGATTCCTGTTCCATTTTCATTCTTTCTGCCTCAAGTCGGAGTCGCTCGGTTTCTTGCATCCTCTCAGATTCTAGTTTGAAATTTTACTGAGCGCGAGGGATATCAAGTCCCGACTCGTCCAATGTGTATGGTGGCTGTTCATTCCATGACACATCTTCCTTAGCTAGTTGATCAGTTCTTTCATTTCCGGAAACCCCACAGTGGGACGGTATCCATTGCATAGTTAACCGACACCGGTTGCCTAGTTTGGAGAGTAGTATTCGTATATCAGGCAATTTTCCAGATTTGAATGCCTGAAGTACCACGCTTGCACCAGTCAGAATTACCACAGGTTGTGAAAGATGACATATATTAAGCAGTTTCTCTGCTGCTATTTTGATGGCTTGAACTTCTGCATCATTGTTGTGACAGTGCTTTCCTGTCGGTATATTGGCTGTATATCTGGTATCATTTGGATACTCAATGTACACTCCTGCACCTCCATTTCTGCTGTAGTTTTGTGCCGACTCATCTGTGTAAACAAGAATCCAAAGATCATGTGGGTATCATCATCAAGTAGATTGAGTGTGCATGTTTTACGCTGCATACTGTTTTGTTCTTTTTCGTCGATTACTCCTTTCACTTCTATCTGGATGTGTATTGGCAACGTGTAATCCTCTCTCCAGAAAGTCGGATCTGGAATAGCATTTAAGGGGCTATCAGCCGCAGGCAGATAATTGGTTTGCCTGCAGAGTTGTTGGGCCTGGTGTTTCTTTTTAGTGGCCCCATTGCTAGATTTTGGAATCTGTCTTACATAGGGTGTTCTGGCATGCCAAGAAACTTCTTCGCTTGTACAAGTTCTGACAATTAAGTAATGAGACTGATTTTATTGTGGCCAAGACAAACATGCCATCTATGAAGCAAAGCATGGAATCTAAAGAGGCAATATTCTTCTATGATCTGGCAACTTTTTATCCCCACTCGATAAGCAGACAATAAATAGGCCGCCATTTTGACCTAACCAGAGGTTCAAGGCACCTAGCCCTGGTCACCAAATTTCTGTTTGAACTCATTGCAAAAGTCAGAGAACGGATACAAGAAGATCATTGTTTTACTGTGAGGATGATGGGAGATGAATCTGGTGTTAACAGAGAGACCATTCATATCATTTTAGTGCAAGATTTTGGCAAGAAAAAAGTTGCCGGTTTGTGCTACATTTGTTGTCTGAGGACAAAAAAACATCAGCGGGTTGAGTAACCAAGAGACATCATCAAAACAAGAATTTTGGATCAAAAACAAGTGTGTGTTTTCAGCCTTTAACCCTATTCCTCAGATTTGTCTCCCTGTGATTATTTTCTATTCCAAAAAATTAAAGTTAGGTTTGAAAGGTCGTTTCTTTGACAATATTGATGACATCCAAAGGACCGTAACATCGACTTTAACGGCACTAACAAAAGAAGAAACACAGAAGATGTTCCAGTGTTTGTTAGATCGTGCCACTTGCTGTATCAGTGCACAAGCGGCTTACTTTGAATCAGTTACAGGTTATGTCTTCAACTGTTGATTGTCATAATTTTTATGGAATTGGTTTTATTAGTAGTAGTAGATTTTTACCCCACTAGGACATCACACGCGCGATAAACATCCGATGACACAAATGCCACAATTTTGATGAGGATCCCCCACGAAGACGTCCCTGAAACCGCTTTCAGCCATTAGATCATATTTATGGTCGGGCTATATTGCTGGCCCCTGGCAAGAGCTAGGGTAGGGTTTCAAAATAGCGAAAAATTGCATCTCAAAAGGAGATGACAGGATAATATATAGTCTCAATACTTAATTGTCGGACCTTGTACTAGTGTCTTAGTGTCTCTACGTTCTGTAAATGTTTGTACCATCGCCATCTACTCTATCACAGCTATAGGTGTTGATTTTATCTTGCCTAATATGACTCTAAGAGCTGAATTTTGCACCTTGTTTGACCTTTCTAATGTTGTTTTCGATGGTGAACTCCATGCAGTTGTCCTGTGTTTAATGTGGGGTCATACACTTTGTGATAAACTTTCCTAAGTATTTTCCCATTAACACCCCATGTTGCTCCGCTTAGTTTTTTAAGGATAGCAATCCTCCTTCTGGCTTTGGTTCTTGCCTTGTTGACGTGTTTTCTCCCCGTTAACCTATCATCAGACGTGACTCCGAGGTATGTGGGCTCATAATTTTATCCTCTCTTGGCGGCATTCCATTTATCTAAATGACGCCTGATATTCGTTTTGCGAATGGGTGAAGTAGATGGTCTTAACTAATTTTGATTTTCAAAAACGAAAATGACATTTAAAAATGTTGTTTGGCTCTAGTTTTTAAAATATACGCTACTAGTTTACTTAATTAGGGCCAAATTATATGAATGAGCAACTGTTGTGGCCGGTTAAATATATATATATATATATATATATATATATATATATATATATATATATATATATATATATATATATATATATTTGTCTAATGAACAATAAAACTGTAACCAGAAGTTGACGATGCACTCATACGTCACTGTTGTATATAAATATCTTATCTCTGACAAAACTGTGAATTTTTTTGCCAGTGACTCTGTCTTTATTAATACTATCATGGTCAGAAATTCAATTATAACCTCTGTTATAAAGGTCGTGAGGTAACATTTCTCTCACACAAAAAAAACTAATTTGATTAAATAAGCACACAGTTTGTATTTTGGCATGCACCCGAAGCACAGATCACATGTGTGTGTGTGTTGTGTGTGTATGTTGTGTACATGTCGTGTGTGTGTATTTTGTGTGTCTGTTGTGTGTGTATGTTGTGTTTGTATGTTGTGTGTGAATGCAGTGTGTGTATGTTGTGTACATGTCGTGTGTGTGTATTTTGTGTGTATGTGCGTGTACATGTGGGTGTATGTTGTTTATGTATGATGTGTATGCATGTTGTGTGTGTATGTTGTGTGTGTATGTTTTGCGGGTAAACTGTGTGTGTGTGCATGTTGTGTGTGTAAATTGTGTGTGTTTGTTAAGTGTGTGTCTTTATGCGGGTGCTCATGTCTTATCTGCACTTTATGAACATTGACAATTACATAATAATCGCTAATGGAAAAGGCAAAGACTGATTTTCTGTCAAGGTTTTTAGCTCCCCATAAGTCATTTTATTTTATAAAAGACACACTTGTTATAGTCCATGCCGCGTCGCCTTGGCCTAACACTGAAATAAGGGATAAACATGTTTCATTTACGAGGTCCCCGGTACAGTTTCGATTCGTATACTCTTGTCTGAGCATCAATAGAGTCCTCGGGTCTTGCTGTGTGAAATATTAACTCCACTCTCGTGACATGACTCGGCGGCGCCTCCATATCTGGTGCTGCATGGTTTTCCAGATCGTACATCGAGCTGATATCTGCATCTGAATGCCACTTGGCCATTGAATACATCTGGACAGCCTGCTGCTCATTTCCCGTTGTCTTGTGGTCGACAGCGCTGCACTTGCGTGGTAACCCTACCATTGCTAGCACCTCGAGGTCCATGAAACACATAAGCACAGTAAAGACAATACCTTGGATGGCAACGGCCAGAGAATAAGCATGCAAGTAGCTGTTGACAGGCAGGTCAGAATAGTGCATGTAGGCTTCTGTGTGGACGAGAATCAGGAGAATTTCTAGACTAATATTATACAACACTAGCATCATGGCACAAGTTGCTTTTTGACGAATATCCCGCAGCAGACGGTCTTTTTCCAAATGGGGCTGTTTCAAATAAAAGGTTCCAAATATTGTTACGCAGTCTAAACACATATTGCTCAGTATCAGCAGTAATCGTGGAGCTGTGGTCAACCAGTGATATTTTGATTGTAGAGTTCTAAAACCGCAGTATTTTGAACGATATGAGACGATCTCAGCAAATTGTTCAGCGAGAACAAGTAAAATGGCCAAAGTCACGGCTGCAGCGATCTTTAATTTCAAGAGTAATGTCCTAATGGGGATTTGTAGAATAGAAACAATACACATATAAAAGTAGCCAAAAATGCATTCATAAAACAATATGTGACTGACCAGCACCAACGATTTAGCCAAGCGACACTTGAAGACGTTTGTGGCGTCGTCGATGGCACTCACGGACACTGTGACAGCGTTGTTGACCAGCAGAGCTGCTGCTGCTATGCTGAGGGCGATGTATGAATAGGTCATAGGGCGTCGCTGTTTTAGCTTGATCACAACAGCAGCACTAATGATCATTGCCGCCAACAGCACGGCGATGGACACCACATGCAGAAGCAGGTACAATCGTGTGTATCCGTCCAAGGATCGAAGAAGTACAATAATTTTATTACTCACAAGTTTCTTCAAGTCATCTGCTGCAGACGGGTCATCGGGGAGAAAGCAGTTTTCATAGTTAGTGTAAGGCTTATCATCGAATGTGTAATTGACAAACCAAGTACCATTAGCTAGGCATTGTCGAGTGGCAAACTGGTTAGGGTTAAGAAAGCCATCGTCAGGGCAAGAAGTTATGGCTGTGACCCCTGCTGGCGTGGGCGCCCAGCACATTTCTGAATAGTGGTCCCATTCTGGTTTGCAGTGAGTCACATTCATTCGAGATGATCTGTTGAGCATAGCAGCAAGGCAGGTGTCTCTTGTCTGGAATGGTGGTTCGAAGTTGTTCATTTCTGTTAAATGAATTCTGGAAGCCATGACTGTATTGTGTCCTGTAAACAGATGGAAAGGATTTTTAAGAAATTATCTTTCTTAAATAAAAAAAAGTATTGTCTTAGGTTACACCAAGATTATGTGGCAGAGACTTAGCACGTAAACAAAATATATCAGTCTTACGTATGACGGTAAGCTGACCACACTTGCCATCTCATATGGCAGTTTTGGAGGGTGATATGACGGGCAAATATGATCGACAGAGGGGTAAGTAAAAGCAAAATACACAGTGGTCTTCGTAAATTTATTGTTGAAATAAAGATTTAAAAAAGTGAAATCAAAGATAAAAAGGATGACATTCATACAAACTGTTAATGTTTTATGATAAATGAAATAAAATGTTTTGCTATATGCAAAGTCTGAAGATGACTACAGGGTATGCCGTACTTTTCTAATGTGCCAAATGTCAGGGAACATAAAATATTTTTTGCCAGAATGAAAGAAAAGTGAACACCCTAAATTGCTATTTATTTAATGTATGAACCACTGCAAGGAAGTTGTTTTCTTTTAAGTCTGTTTCGTATCCTCTACTGGTCGACGCAGAACCAGCCACATCATTGTTTTGCTATTTGTGATTTTTTTAATTTTTAATCTATTGCCCTGACAGTCGGCGCGGATTTCCCCTTCTTTCCTTTGTAAAGCTTCTAGGTCACAGTTTAGTTTATTATTTTCTTGGCACTCAAGAACAGTGTCGGGGTCGTTTACAGACGACATCACCACCATACAGAACACTGGCAATACATGTTAAATAAATAGGCATGTACTGATCGGCAATCACAGAAAAACAGAAGAACATAGTAATACATATGTTGAGCTACACAGGTTTGCTACACTCAAGCTGCTGGAAAGCACAACGCATATTTTTTAAAACAGGATTTCCGCAGTTTGTTAAAGTGTCCTTGCGGCGTATGGCATTGATATGTATTTGTCCTGACTACTGTCAAGGAAACAGAATCACACCGCGTTACTCCAATACTAGTCCGCATGTCGCCGACATTGTGTAGGAGAAGTTAGAAACGGAGAGGCAGCAGGTTCTGACACACCCAGCTTAAAGCCTTTATTTGATGCTATATGACCGCCATTTGTTCTGATGGTTTTTGTACTGGCACCGACTGTCGATGTTTTGCAATGTGAGGATCTATAGAGATGCCAAGTTCTGATGCACGCTTGCGCTGTCAGCTTGGCAACATCCAAGCAAAAAACAGCGATGCCAAGCGGCTCATTTCTCCCCAATGAGGATGTTTTTAAGGCTTGGGTGCTTGTCCGGGTTAAATGTCATCGAAATTAGGACAAGGTTTGGTTGCTCACGTGCGCCAGTTCATAAATACTTCATCTCTGGTTGCTGCACCGGGAGAGGGTGGGTGCATTTAAATAAACAACAGCGATGAATAACATTAGGCTGCAGTGGAGAAGAAAAGAATAAGTTAATAATCATCAGTTCATATCAGGAAAATGTCGACTCCTGAGACAAATAACCCAGCTGGTCATTATTTGGATAACTTACAAGAGGGAAATAAGTAGGCAGTGAATCAAAACGCGGCCTGTGGTTTAAACAACATGCTTCCACTCCCGCTAACCGAAATCGTTAGCAATAAAGCCGTGGGTAAACAACCAGAGGGCTGAAACTTTGCACGCAACCAATGAGCTTTCCGCTTGTGAAGTTTGAACACAAAAAAAATCATCTCATACAATCAGGCGTTCCCATTCATTGACATTATGAATGCAGAATCTATGTTACATAAGAATTCCCCATTTGTTTTGTTTTCTGTCCGTTTTTTTTTCTCCGCTTAAAACATGCACTCAGTTCTCTACCAGCTGACAATGAACAGTTTTTTAATGCAAGGAGAGACGCAAACAGATTTTTAAAAAAAACACGAACCTGGAAACGATATTTCTCACAATTCTTTGGAATGATATGCCAGAAAGAAAAAATAAAACAAGCAAGGTCATGCAAACAAAGGACGTAAACATCCTTGTAAAGAATCTTCTTGAGTGTTTGAAAACCTATCTCTACGAAATTAGAAACAAATTTAGTGAATATGCTTTCAAAGCCAGGAGTCAATGCCCAGATACAGATTACAGTGATTGGAAATAAGGGGAACGACAGCCAAGTTTTTTTTTTTAGATACGATGGATCGGCAGAACTGCAAGAAGAGGTATTTCTCAGTAAAAGAGGTAAGTTCAACGTGGAAACTTTCCTCTCTATTTTGGACACTAATTCTTGAAGAGGTTTATTCACAGATTGGAAATCTGCTTTAAATGAACTGAAAACCATTGCTTCTGATGCATTAAAGAAAAAGTGTAAACATCTGGCTAATTTCTATAAAAGACAAAATCCTGATGACTTTTTGAATGAATGTTAGTAAATTAAGCACTACAAGGCTGTTAATAAACACTGAGAGATTCTCCCTGCACTGTACAGAACAAAGATTTTTGACAAACTATTTTTTCCCGAATGTTGAAATTGCACTCAATGTGTTCATGCGCACGATGGTAACCAGCTACACTGGAGAACGTTTCTTTCCAAGGTGAACTGTCATTATCAAACAAACTGGGGCAGCTTCGTTTCCGATGGCTTTCACTCATGTGCATAGAAAATGACATCCTGAAGACAGTCACTTTAGGACAATAATAAAGCAGTTACGTGACAAGAAATGGCGCAAATGCTTGTTGTAATAAGAAGTTGGAGTAGTTTCATACTGAGCCATCTAATAGTTAGACCCTTCTAGCGATTGATACGCTTTTCTTCAGAACGTTTACAACTTTTTTTTTTTCGCAGACCCAGGTTGCAGTATGATTACAACACTCGACCTGAGAGAACCAATGCACCTTTGCCCACTGACTCTACTGTCTGGTTCCAAAATCTAGGTCTTCCTGGACCCCTAGCCCTGGGCCGTCTAGAATTTTGGATCTATACATTGAGAGAACTTTTTTCAAAAATAATATACTGAAATTCAAACCTCTCAGGCACTCCAGTTATACCGGTTCACTTCTTCTTCCGTGTACCACATCTTCACCTTAGATGTTACCGCTCGCTACACGTCTATTCCACATTCCGATGGCCTCCATGCTTTGCGGTTCTTTCTAGAACAGAGAGTCAGCCTGCTGACCCACTGATACGTCTGGCCGAGTTAGTGCTCACTCTAAACTCTTTCGCTTTTAATTTGCCACTATTTTCACCAGATCAGCTGCGTCGCTATGGGCACCAAGATGGAACCTAGTCTCTTCATGGGCTACTTCGAGCACCAGATACGTCATGCAGATATCGGTAGGCTCCCAGAGCTCTACAGGAGGTACATCGATGATTGCATCAGTGTCGCCGATATGCCCCTTCCTGAACTGCAGAACTTCCTCAGTTTTATCTTTAATTTCCATCCCAGTACCAAATGCACTTCCAGTATCTCACCTCTGTCGGTGCATTTTCTGGATCTCACTGTCACCGTGGACTCTATAGACCTCAGTACCTACTGATTCCCATGCTTTATCTCTCTACAAGTCCTCCCATCCCTCTTCCTCCATTCCTTTTTCCTTGCTTCTACGCCTTAGCAGACTATGCCAAGAAAACGACGATTTTCACAACACGGTCTTAGAAAAGCCGGACTTCTTGCGACTTCGAATGTATTCTGAACCTGTCTTATATATCACCTTCCACCGCGCAATGTCTACCCATCATGCCGAGGCTCTCGTTTCTAAGCCTAAACGTCACCATAACAGACATATTCTCATATTTACCTACCACCCTCGCAACATCCGTGCTAAAAATATTCGCCTTGAGCATCTCTCCATCCTTCTCTTGAAAATCGCTTTATTTTCACTTTGGGCGCGTTAACACCTACAGTTTTATCTAAAACCCTCCAGTTACTGCCCCTGGCATTCCCAGGGGGTATTTTTTCTCCTGTCCCATCTGTCTCTTAAGTCCACTGGCAAGACATCGACCTGGCTGCTTCAAGATACTAATCAAAGTGATTTTGTGTATTTGTGTAGTATTATTTGATTTATGTATGTGCTGATGAAGACTCAGTAGCCGCTACGTTCACGTTTTGTTTGTGTTTGTTATATTGTGAAGCTTGTTGATGTACTTTTCATTCGGTTTTTATATTTTCTTGAATTTTTGTTGCTGATTTAACATCAGTTTTATTAAGTGCTATTACAATAAATATATGTTTAATATTATCGACTATTTACATTTAATTAATGTGAGTGGTTGTGGTAGGGGTCACAGCACAGTGATTTGTACAGGGGCCCTAATACTGTCAAGATGGCTGTGGTTACAAATGGTTCATAATTCTTGCTGCTGTATCCCTGACAAGTCCACAAAACTGACCCTCCGTATTTCAGAAGCAAAAAGTCAAATAATTAGTTTTTTGTTGTATTTTTTTGGTACCTGCTCACAAGACTGTCTTAACTGCATCATTTTCTCTCTGGCTTCAACAAACTATTCACGTTAACAAAAATGTGAGGTATAGAGAAGATTAATACAATATAATACAACGCTTAACTTTAAGAAGAGCCGTTATAAAGCAATGGCTAGACTCTTGCCTGCTGGCCCATGGGATTTACGTTTTAATGCGTAATGAAACACTTTTGTATAATTGACCTTGGCTAACATGTTGAATTAGTGGAAAATTAATACTAGTAAGTATTAAGGATTACTAGGAAATATCGAAAAATTAATACTAGGAAGTGTCGAAAATTGTTACTAGAAACCTTTGGAAATTATTACTAGGAAGTGTCGAAAATTATTACTAAAAAGTGTCAGAATGAGTTTTTTTTTTTTAAGGCGGCTGTGATTATGTTGACGATATACCTGATCGAGAACCGACTGGTCTGTACAATGTGCGACTAGCACCATATGTGCAGTTCTTGTCAAGGCGCGAAAAAAAAAAAAAGCTCTACTGCGAATGCAACGGACATGTGACGGGAGAACGTACCGACCTGACGAGAACACCAGATTAACACTATAGAAACATGCACACAGTCGTCAG